TTTTTTGTAGAAATGTGCGAAAAGAAACACACACACACACAGAGACACACACATCACACACAGACACACACTCACACACACACACAGGCACAAACCAACACAAAGACATAAAAAGCTATAGAAAGATATAAAGAATGAACAAAGTGCAAAATATAAAAACAAAATCCGTGAAATTAAAAAGTATAAACGAAGAAAATTGAAACGGAGAAAAATAAATTATATATATATATATATATAGATATATAGATAAAATTATATATATAAATATATACTCTATATAAGGCTTACTGATATCATAAATCAAACAATACAATCAAATTAAATGGATGCAACAAAGCTTATATATGAACTCATTTTATAACTAAAAAATATGAAAAAAAATAATCATAATAATAACAAAAAACTGTAATAATAATAATAAGAAGAATTTTAAATTTTAAAAAGTAATCAACATAGCTACGAAATTGTGTAACTTATAAAAAACATTTTTAAATCGGATTAACTCAATTTATATAATAATAATAATTGAATTGAATTGAAACAATCTTTTATTCAGCAAAATATCACAAAAATAAATTACTAGGAGACCAGAAGAAATAATAATAATAACAATAGATGATGATCACAGCAATAATAATAATAATAATAATATTAATCACAAAAAGGAAATAAAATCTTTTTTCAATTCTGAACGCTGCTACGTAGCAAATTAATTAAAACTGCACAGTAAGCAAAAAAACATTATTGTTATTATATATATATATATATATATATATATATATATATATATGCTGACTATGCGAATGCTCTTATATATATAAGATATATATATATATATATATATATATATATATATATATATATATATATCAAGTCTATATATATATATATCAAATCAAATATCAAATCAAATATATAAATATAAATATATATATATTTGATATATATATATATATAAAATGAAATACGGAATAACTAGTTGATTGGTTTGTGATTGATTTTGTAATATATATATATATATATATATATATATATATATATATATATATATATATATATATATATATATATAATATTCTATAAATTCTACCGAATGTTTGGCGTTAATATGTTTGTAGTTCGTTTTTTCGATTTTTCTCACTAAAGTCGGTA